CAACTTGGCATAGAGTCTGTGTTCCCGTAGTCTCTGCAGGACCTCCTTTACGTCTCTCTCGTGAGCCTCCGGCGATTCTGAGAAGATCAGGATGTCGTCGAGGAAGCACACGCACTTCTTGTAGAGGAGTCCCGCTAGCACGTGATGCATAAAGGCTTGGAAGCAGTGAGATCCATTTTGGAGACCAAAAGGCATAACTCTGTATTCATACGTGCCCAGAGGCGTGAACATGGCCGTCTTCCACTCATCGCCCTCACGCATGCGTATGAGATTGTACGCTCCGCGCAGATCCAACTTGGTGAAGATCCTCCCCTTCCGCACGGTCGCTAGGAGGTCGTCAATCTTGGGCATGGGGAAGGCCTTGGGCTTTGTCATCGAGTTTATGGCCCGATAGTCCACGATGAGTCTCTTTTGGGGCGTGTCCTTTTTCTTCACAAAAAACACAGGACTGCCCCCCACCGCTCTGGATTCCCGAATGAATCCGCGCTTCAAATTGTGCTCTATGAACTCCCTGAGTTCTTGCATCTCATCTTCAGACATGGAATACAGCTTTGCAGTCGGCAGCTTCGCCCCCGGCAACAGGTCAATCGCACAGTCGTAAGGCCTGTGGGGTGGCAGCTGGTCAGCTTCCTTCTCGCAGAAAACCTCCAAAAATCCCTCGTACTTGCGGGGTACTGCCTGCACCATGCCTAGTTGCAGTTGCTGCCCAGCTTCCTCCCCTTGGCTGGACTGGATGCAATGTTGAGCACAGTACGATGAGGAAAAGGTGATCTGTCGCTGGTACCACGCCACTGCTGGACTGTGTCTCTCTAGCCAGCTCATGCCTAACACTATAGGCGTGTCTGATAGGCGGGTGACGTTGAAGCTAATGACTTCTCGATGATTTCCAATCTGCATCACCATGGGAGGCGTCTGTTGCACAACTTGCCCTCCTAGCAATTTTCTGCCATCGACCGTGACTACGTTCAGGGGCGTCGTAGCTGGCAGAAGCGCTATGCGATGCTGCTTGACGAACTGCACCCCCACAAAGTCCGCGTTGCTTCCAGAGTCGATTGTAATGGGGACTTCCAGGGTGGTTCCATTCGGCAACTGGAGTGTTGCAGTGAGCTGCACCGCTGGCTTGGGTGGTAAGGGGTCTGTGTGCTGCAAAATCGCTGGGGACTGCTCTACAGACTCGCCTGGCTGAGCCCCAGCATCGCTGTCTCCAGCCAGGCATTGTCGTTTCCCTGAAACTGCTCCTCATGAGGTACGTCTGCTGCGACCGTTGCTAAAGCTGCAGTGTGTCTCCGAAACCTCTGGGGACACTCTTTAGCCATGTGCTGTGCACTATCACAGATGTAACATTTCCTGTTCCCTCTAGGAGGCTTCTCCTTGACTGCACCGGACGTTGGGGCTCTGGCTGCTGTCTGAGCTCTAGCACCGCCAAGCTCCATTGGTTCCTCCCCCTGCCGCATTAGAGGCGAAGGATGCGCCTGGCCGAACTCCCTGGGGATAAAAGGAGGTGCCCTCGCTGGCGCACGCACCTGGCGACCTTCCTCATTGTGCCAAGGACGTTCTTCGTGTCGTATTCCAATCGCAAGAGCCCTCTGTACTACTTCTGCTAGGGTTTGAGGTCTGTCACCCCTGGCCAATTCATCTTTTATGGAGCTGTGGAGTCCCTCCCAGAACAAATCTCTCACTGGTTTGGAGTCTTTCTCCCAGCCCAATACATTCAGCAATGCAAAAAAGCGCGAATGGTACTGACGCACAGTGGCTTTGCCTTGTTTGAGTCCGTGCATCTGTTGGCGCGCAACATCAACATCCACGGTGGACTGGAAACAAGCGTCCATCGCTTTAATAAATTCATCAGAATCGCGGCGGGCAGGACCATCTTCACGCCACAAATTGCGCAGCCACGCTCTGGCGTCTCCATGCAAATGAGACACAATAAAACCCACTTTCTCCTCCTCATCTTTAAAGTCATTGCGAAGCAAATGCAGTGCATACAGGACGTCTGCTCTGAAACTGGGGTAGTGCTTCAGGTTCCCATCGAAGGGGGCTACTAAATTTCCTCCCCGCCTTCCGAGTCCGATTCCCTCTGATCTGGACCCCGGGAACCCCTCTTTGCACGCACGTTCCCACCTGGTTTGCAGATCGTGGCATCGCGCCTCCGCTTCTTCACTCTTCTTCTGGGAGACCACTACCGCAGTGGAAAGCTCGGAGACTGCGTTTCGTAGTGCTGTCAACTGTTCCTCCGCACTCATGGTTGCCACACTTCGTGAGCTTTGCAAAAAAAAAATTTTGCGTTCTTTTCTGAGAGGGGACTTACTGTCAGGGCCGCCTCAGGTCCCAGCTCACAAGAGACCAACGCCAAGTCCACTTTATTTACAAAAGTCTTTATTGAAGTACATTGTTTGTTCCACAGCCGAGGCGCGCAGCCCCACGTCTGTTACGCTTAGACCGCTGAAGTCCCCTCTGAATCAGTCCCGCCTCTACACCAGTTTAAGAGGCTTGTGCTGGTCCACCTCTTCCTGTCCTTCCTTTTCCGCAGGGTCTTTCTGCCCCCCTGGGTTCCTTCCCTCCTGCTTTCCCCTGACGCTGAGTCCCCAGACGCCTGCTCCCCCCTCCTCCGTGCTTTGGGACCAGGCTCCTTCTCCGGGCTCTCCGCATTTCCGCGCGCCTCCACATTTGAACTTGGCGCGCGTTCGCTACCCCTGACCTTCCTCTTGACAGTTATACTACTCTCTGTACTACTCTCCGCCCCTTCCGGCAGGACGTCTTGCCCCGATCTCCTTCCCCTCTCTGCTTCCTGCTCTGCTCCGCCTGTCACACTGGGAACTCCACCCTCTTCACTCCGTTCCGGCTGGGAAGCCTGCCCCGATCTCCCACTCCCACTCGGGGTTTCCCTGCTGCTCCCCTGCTCCTGACGAGTCCCCCCTGTGGCTCCCCTTGGCCTGACCAGGGGCGCCCCCTTTTGGGAATCCTCCGATTCACTTGAGAGACTCATGGAAGCCCTCAAGTCATTGTCATCCTCCTCCTCCTCGTTCCTGGATTCTTCCCCCTCGCTCTCAGTCTCCTCCCTCATCTGTGCCTCTCTCCCTGAACCCCTGACACATGTCGTTCCTCGTTGGTGATCAGTATATGAGTTCTGAGTTCATGAATTGGTATAAATTGAAACAAAAAAGGGTAAACAGCGGAGAACAGAGAACATTCAACTTCGCATAGCCGAATTCCTAGTCAAAAGCTATTGTGGCCGTTGGGCTTAGATTAAGTGTGAGTAATAGTCATTTTCCATCTTACGTTACCAATTAAACTATCCTTATTTTTTGCTCTATCGGACGCACTTTTCCCCCTCCAGAAATGAAGAGGAAGTGTTTGTGCGTCCTATGGAGCGAATGCAGGCTTTTGCTGAAGCCTGGAGGGCGATAGGGGTCGGTGCGCAGCGGGGGTTGGCGCTGCACACCCGGGCTTCAGGCTGCTGTCCGCGAGCCTTTGGAGCCCGGCGGGAACTCCCGCCGCATTCAAAAGGCTTGTGGATAGCTGCCTGTTCTGGGGTTGGGGGAAGCTCAGGCTTCCCCCGCCCCAGCCCCACAGCTAAAAACGAAGCCAGGAGAGTTAGCGGGATCCATCCCGCTCGCTGTCTTGGCTTCTGCCAAAGCCGCCCGCAGCCTCTCCCGGCTGGAGAGTTTGCGCGCGACTAAAGAGGAAGCCAAGACAGCCAGCGGGATGGATCCCGCTCACTGTCTTAGCTTCTTTGCTCTTTGGGGCTGGGGGGGAAATCATTTTTTCCCCTTTATTTCCCCCCTAAAGACTAGGTGCGCCCTATGGTCCGGTGCACCCTATGGAGCTAAAAATACGGTATACAGAGTTGGTCTCCTCATGAAAATGAGAGGAGATTCAAGGTGAAGTAAGAGATTTAGAAAAAAGTTTAAATTTAGACCAAATTTAGATTGAGGCAACAGCTGGTGGGGAGTGTGCAGGTGAAGATGTTCCTGCTTGTTTCAGAGGAGACACGGACGTTGCTGGATCCTGACAAGAGAGCTTTGCGTAAGGAAGTCAAGGAAGAGAATTGTGGGATCATGGACCCTATCATTACACATCAATTTTCAAATTCCATACATACCTCTATTTCGGGGTGGCCAACTTCCAAGAGACTGCGATCTACTCGCAGAATTAAAAACTGGGAGTGATCTACCCCTGTTTTTGAGGGGTTCAGGTCAAAGTTGTTGAGCTTTTATTAGCAACTCACCAAAGGAGCGCTGGGGGAAAACCAGCCTCCAGCCTCGGTTTGTAAGCTCTGTCTTCCATTCTCCAACAATGGAAGGAGGATCCGGGAGGGGGCCAGCGATTGACTGCAATTGACCAAAACCTTGCAGGGATCTACCAGTAGATCGTGATCGACCTGTTGGACACCCCTGCTCTATTTGATGAACCTCCACTATTTGGATGGAGACCAACAGCATCTGAGATTCTAACATCCACACCGTGAGCCCTGAATGGAGGGATATCAACTGTTTGTTAATATTCTTTGTCTAGTCATGCCTTTTAAAACAATGACCAGGCTTGTCTGAACCACCCAGGCCTTCTTAAATGTGGGCTTGAGAGTTTTTAGGAAAGTTGAAGTAACTTCTGTCAGGTTTGTTGTTTTGGCTTCTGTTTGCATTTGATTGACCAAAGAGATGACTGACCTTGAATATGGGGTGGATTCCAGGATTGAGCCAAATAAAATCTATCCCAGATAAAAGCCAAGCAATATGTCAGTTAATACCAGCCAACAAAGGCAGTGAAAACTATTGTAAGGCCTCACATTTAACTTCAGTCCTTCCTTTATCACAAGCATTCATTAACTTTGTTCAATGATAGATGTGAACCACGTCCCCTTTGCTCTGAGTGGGGTTGGGGTCCGGGGCAGCAATGCAGAGTTAGCATGACTTACCCTAACATGGCAGTGCATTGATGGGGGAGGGCTCAGGTGGTGGGTTTCTTCCTGAGGCGATAATTATCTTTTCTCTTCATTGCAGTTGGTGATGAATGGGAAGGGAAGAACAAGGGGGACCACAACAGAATCCACATATCAGAGAAATCAAATAAATATTCAGAGTATGGAGAGAACATCGGCCAGAGCTCCCAGTCCACCTCCCATCAACGAAAGAGCTTCATTCGGAGGGATAGCCTCACTTCACATGAAAGAATTCACAGAGGAGAAAAATTGTATCACTGCACAGAATGTGGAAAGAGCTTCAATCGGAAGTATAATCTCACTTCCCATCAAAGAATTCATATGGGGGAGAAACCCTATCAGTGCCTGGAATGTGAAAAGAGCTTCAGTCAAAAGGACAGTCTCACTTTGCATCAAAGAATACATACAGGGGAGAAATCCTATCAGTGCTTAGAATGTGGGAAGCGCTTCAGTCACAGATCATATCTCACTTCCCATCAAAGAATACATACAGGGGAGAAACCATATCAGTGCTTGGAATGTGAAAAGAGCTTCAGTCACAGGCAGAATCTCACTTCCCATCAAAGAATTCATTCAGGGGAGAAACCATATCAGTGCTTGGAATGTGGAAAAAGCTTCAGTCAGAGGCAGGATCTCACTTCCCATCAAAGAATTCATACAGGGGAGAAACCATATCAGTGCTTCGAATGTGGGAAGAGTTTCAGTCACAGACATCATCTCACTGCCCATCAAAGAATTCATACAGGGGAGAAACCCTATCAGTGCTTGGAATGTGGGAAGAGCTTCAGTCGAAAGGACAGTCTGACTTTGCATCAAAGAATACATACAGGGGAGAAATCCTATCAGTGCTTAGAATGTGGAAAGAGCTTTAGTCACAGATCACATCTCACTTCCCACCAAAGAATTCATACAGGGGAGAAACCCTATCAGTGCTTCAAATGTGGAAAGAGCTTCAGTCAGAGGACCCATCTCGCTTCCCATCAAAGAATTCATACAGGGGAGAAACCCTATCAGTGCTTTGAATGTGGAAAGAGCTTCGGTCAAAAGAACACTCTCACTTTGCATCAAAGAATTCATACAGGGGAGAAACCTTTTCAGTGCCTGGAATGTGGGAAGAGCTTCAGTAGGAGCACCCATCTCACTTCCCATGAAAGAATTCATTCAGGGGAGAAATCCTTTCAGTGTTTGGAATGTGGAAAAAGCTTCAGTCACAGCCAGGGTCTCACTTCCCATCAAAGAATTCATACAGGGAAGAAACCATATCAGTGCTTCGAATGTGGGAAGAGCTTCAGTCACAGCACCCAGCTCACTTCCCATCAAAGAATTCATACAGGAGAGAAACCCTATCAGTGCTTGGAATGTGGGACGAGCTTCAGCCAGAGCAGCAGTCTCACTTCGCATCAAAGAATACATACAGGGGAGAAACCCTATCAGTGCTTGGAATGTGGGAAGCGCTTCAGTCACAGATCATATCTCACTTCCCATCAAAGAATTCATACAGGGGAGAAACCCTATCAGTGCTTGGAATGTGGGACGAGCTTCAGTCAGAGCAGCAGTCTCACTTCCCATCAAAAACTTCATAAAGGAGAGAAACCACATCAGTGCTTGGAATGTGGGAAAAGTTTCAGTCAAAGCCCCCATCTCATAATCCATAAAAGAATCCATACAGGGGAGAAACCATACCAATGTTTGGAATGTGGGAAGAGTTTCAGTCACAGACATCATCTCACTTCCCATCAAAGAATCCATACAGGGGAGAAACCATATCAGTGCTTCGAATGTGGGAAGAGTTTCAGTCAGAGATCACATCTCACTTCCCACCAAAGAATCCATACAGGGGAGAAACCTTATCAGTGCTTGGAATGTGGAAAGAGCTTCAGTCACAGCCGCAGTCTCACTTCCCATCACAGAATTCACACCAGAGAGAAATCTTCTTAGTGTTTGGAATGTGGGAAGAGTTTCAGTCAGAGTGCCACTCTCATGGCCCACCAAATAATTCATACAGGGTTGAAAGCATATCAGCGCATGGAATGTAGACAAAATTTCCCTCGTAAAAAAGTCAATTCAAGAACTCACAGCATGGTGAATAATAGAATGGTAGATTCGGAATCTAGTCCAACACCTGCCAACGCAGAAAAAAATCATTTCAAGCATCCATGACAGATGGCCATCCAACTTCTTCTTAAATACCTCCAATGAAGGAGAGTCCACCCCCTTCTGGGGGAGTTCCTTTTAACTGCTGGCTCTTACTATCAGAAAGTTCTTCCTGCTCTTTAGGAGAAATCTCCTTTTGTGTTGCTTGAATCACCTCTTCAGATTCCTTCATGACCTTGAGAAGGACTTCTGTATGTCTGAGAATGTCCAGGGGATTGGACCATGCTCTATATTTGGGGGGAAACCCATGGAGAGGAGTCTGATATAGGGCTTAAGTCGTCTAGGCATTGGTCAGATTGTCATAATTACAGACATACTTACTGGTTTGGATGGAGGTATTCTTATTCCAGGGGAAGTGGTAACTGTGAGATTACAGGCGCTCTTGCCAATATTGTCCAAACGTCCAGTAAAACTTTGACACAGCAGACCAATAGTTTACCCGTTGAGGTTGACGTATTGGGAGGTTAGGTTTAGGGCTGTGTGGTATTGCTTAATTGTATGTGGGGTCCCTATAAAGGGAACTTCTTCCTCTAGGTGGGAGGGTGACTGGTCAAGTTACCATCAGTTGAATGCAACATTCAAGTTAGATTTTTAAAAACGGATTTGCAGAACAAAACTCACAGTTTGAAAGGGATTTATTAGGCTCCAGGGTTAAAATATTATCTAAATATTACTTGAGTGGGACACAAAGAATGCAATTATGAAAATCATCAATGAGAAGCTGGGCCAGAGATGTAGGACACAACATTGACTTTCCTTTATGGGAACAACTGTGGAAAGTAAATTTAAGGTTTACAGCTAGCTACATGCTAAGGGAAAACTTCATGAAGATGATGCAGAGGAGTCAATCAAGATCATCAAGGGTCTGAAACCAAGCCTTATGAGGAGGGCTTGAAGGAACTGGGGGGGGGCGTATCTATTTCAAGTGAAGTTTGCCGAAATCTACACTTGCAACATGGGCTGTCATACGTCCAAATTTTCCCGGACATTTGAGCAATTTCCGCCCAGACACTGCTTACAATTCTGGATGTATGGCAACCATATCTGTATACAGTGGTACCTCGGTTTTAAAACAGCTTAGTTCCTGAACAACTTTGAACTCAAATGCTGCAAACCTGGAAGTTGTGGGAATGTTCTGGGGTGCAGGAGAGGATATATTGACTAATTATATCCTTATCCAACAAGTTCCCAAATATCAGCAGAGTTTATAAACATTCCCCTTTAAGTGTGCAACGGTAACGTGTGCACAGGTTCGCTAGAACCTCTATAATAATTACCCTGGTAATTTCCCCTTTAGTTCCCTCTTAAAATACAAGACACGACACAGTCTTCATAAAAGTATAAAAGAGTTTACTCACGTTCTGTTCACAATGTGATCCCAGAAGGCACAGCTTAAAAAGGTTACATACATTTAGAATCTATCTTGTAGCAAGATAGACCTTATCTCCTCTCTTGGCTGGGAGCCAAGAGAGCATCCTTAGATGTTTCCTCATCGAAGCAAAATGGCAGAGAGAGAGAGGGTCTGCCTGCCCTGTGCTTTTGTCATTACCTGCACAGGTGAGGCCACACCCACCTCTGGTCACATGCGGAGGAAGTCCGTCCCCAGGAAGTTTACCTGCTTGCTGGACAGACATCCCCCCCATGTTCTAAACATGTACACTCTAGGAATGTTGTCATTGACTGCTCCTGTGTTTACATCCCACATACCCCTTCTCAGGCAATACAACATATACAAAATATAAACAACTTTATTCAACCACCCAGAGTCCCAGCTTGACACGTAGATTCTGGAAACTCTCTCTTGGTAGGGGTTTCGTCAAGATGTCAGCAGTCATCTCTTGGGTACTGCAGTAGGATAGTTCTACAAGTCCATCCTGGATCATCTGGCGTATGTAGTGGTATTTAACCCCAATGTGTTTTGTTCTGGCCAGGAACTTCTCACTCTGCGTCAGCTTCAGGCAACTTTGATTGTCCTCCAGAAAGCTGACAGGCCCTTTTCTCACCAACCCAAAGTCCTTTATGAGTTGATCAAGCCAGGCGATCTCTCTGCAGGCTTCTGTTGCTGCAACGTATTCTGATTCTGTGGAAGATAATGCTACACAGCTCTGTTTATAACTGCCCCACGCGATAGGTCCATCCCCAAACATGAAAACATGACCACTTGTTGATTTATAGTCAGCATTATCCCCAGCCCAATCCGCGTCAGTATACCCAACCAACTTAGGGTCTCTGACGGCTGGTAACCTTAATTTACAATTCATGGTACCCTTCAAATATCGCACCACCCTCTTTACACCTGCCCAATCATGCTCAGTGGGAGAATTCACTTTTCTGCTAAGAATCCCCACAGCATTAGCTAAGTCAGGTCTACATGTGGTAACTAAATACAAAAGTTTACCAATCACCAACCTGTAGTCATTGTTGTCTGGCAACTGCTTCGAATCCTGCTGATTCTTCAGGAAGTCAGTAGCCATCGGTGTAGCAACTGGATGTGCGTCTTGCATCTGCATGTGCTCAACTAGCTCGTGGATCTTCTGTCTTTGGCTAAGAAGAAATGAGCCGTCCTCTTCTCTTTCCACCTGGATCCCGAGGTAGTACTGGACATCTCCTAGCTCCTTGACCTCCACCTCTTTTGCTAAGGTGTTTTACTATCTGTGTATAGTCTTTCTCACTTGCTGTGGCAATAATCAGGTCATCAACAAATGCTAAGATATATGAGAATTGTCCATTATTTGACTTACTGTACAAGCACTTGTCAGCGTCGCCTTGCTTGTACCCAAGTTGCGTCAGCATTTTATGCAACTTCTGGTTCCAGGCTCTAGCAGCCTGTTTAAGTCCATAAAGTCCTTTCTGCAGCTTGCACACTAGATGTGCCTCATGTGGTTTTACAAAACCTTTGGGCTGCTTCATGTAAATTTCTTCTGAAATCTGCCCATGTAGAAAAGCGGTAGCAATGTCAATGTGTTTTACCCTCATTTTCTTGGAGGCTGCAATGCTTAAAAGCATTCTTACGCTGCTATACCTCACAGTTGGTGCAAAAACTTCATCATAGTCTTCACCAAAACGCTGTGAAATCCCTGTGCTACAAGTCTAGCTTTGTAGCGCTGCACTTCTCCTTCTGACCCCTTCTTAACCTTGAAAACCCATTTACTGCCAATGGCCTTCTTACCGGGAGGCAGCTCAGTGAGTGTCCAGGTCTTGTTCTGATGCAGTGCACCCCATCTCCTCCTGCGCGGCCATTCCTCCAGAGACTGGCTTCTGCAGCTGGCATCTCCTGTATCTCTTCCCAAGTGGAAGGTTCCTGTGGAAACGCCGACCCTGCAAGGTAGAGAACCGTAATGGTGGTACACCTCTGGTTGGTTCTGGATGAGCGCCTGACCTCTGGTTCTGCGACCGCATTAGCTTCCTCATCCTCCTCCAACGCAGGCATGTCCCCATCTGAGTCCTCATCTTCGTCTCTGTGCCACCAGGGTTCTGGTCCTCTGCGTCTTCTGGTGCGTCGCCTGTAGGGGGCGCTGTAACACTCGAAGGCAGATAATTACTTTGTGGGCTCTCAAAGGGAAATATACAAACTCTTGAGTCCTTTTCTGACTCATCTGAAGAATCCACAACAGTGTTCTTAGTGTCTACTTTTCCATAATTCATCAAATAAACTGCATTGAATCCCCGTGACGGGGTGAGCTCCCGTTGCTCAGTCCCTGCTCCTGCTTACCTAGTAGTTCGAAAGCACGTCAAAGTTCAATTAGATAAATAGGCACTGCTCCGGTGGGAAGGTAAACGGCATTTCCGTGTGCTGCTCTGGTTCGCCAGAAGCGGCTTAGTCGTGCTGGCCACATGACCCAGAAGCTGTACGCCGGCTCCCTATGCCAATAAAGAGAGATGAGTGTCGCAACCCCAGAGTTGGCCACGACTGGACCTAATGGTCAGGGATCCCTTTACCTTTACCTTACCCTGTTTTGAGGTGTATGGACCTGAGAAGGCCTTTAGAAAGAATATGGCATTTTGTTTTCACTGAATAGATAATGGCAGCCTGTCACAAGTGTTTTATTTGATGCTTTGCAGTATCTCTGAAGAGAAGTACTGGCACATTCTGTCCTTCTTGTTTGCTGTTCAGGAGATTAATAGGATCCCTTGATTTTAACCAACATCACCTTGGGCTACAACCTCTTTGAAACCTATTTCGATGGCAGAGTGGTTTCCAGTGCACTGCTGGATGGGCATTCTGGTGGGGGAAAGAATATTCCAAACTACAACTGTGGAAGACGCAAGAACCTCTTGGTTGTTATTGAAGGGGCTGAATCAGACATTTCTACCCATGTTTCTAGCATGTTGGGCATCTACAAAATCCCACAGGTAGGGACTGGGATGGCCACCCGCCAGGGATGCAACAGTAGTGGATCGATTAGACTATGTGAACCGTGAGCTCCCTTCCTACTCTAGGATTCTCCTTTTTTTGAAGGATTCCCTTAAAACTATTTACAATAGGCTCAATCTTGCCTGAAGATGCCTTAAGAGCATAAGCATCTGCTTCAGGTTATAGGTCCATCTATTCCAGCATCCTGCTTTCAGAGTAGCCTACCAGATGCCACTTTTAGGAAGCCCACAAATGGACCCGAGTGCAACATCACTCTCCCTACTTTTGATTCCCAAAACTGGAATTCAGAAGTAGACTGCCCTCTGGCTAAGGATCATTCGTAGT